CTTTCTTGTTCTTGTTGTTTCTCTTTCTTGTTCTTGTTGTTTCTCTTTCTTGTTCTTGTTGTTTCTGTTTCTTATTCTTGTTGTTTATGGTTCTTATTCTTGTTGTTTCTCTTTCTTATTCTTGTTGTTTCTGTTTCTTATTCTTATTGTTTATATTTATTATTTTTGTTGTTTGTGTTACTTATTCTTGTTGTTTCTGTTTCTTATTCTTGTTGTTTCTGTTTCTTATTCTTATTGTTTATATTTATTATTTTTGTTGTTTGTGTTTCTTATTCTTGTTGTTTCTATTTCTTTTCCGTTGGACCGATTATTCACTCTGTTCATGTGTCAATTAGGTCACAACGACGGTCCGGAAAGGGCCATCTGAGGCGAAACAGGAAGTAGGGCAACACTTTTCGCTTCCTGTTGGCAACATGTCGCCAGCAGGTCGTGGAACATGAGAAAAGTTCAGCATTCCTCTCGACGACGGAAACTGCCCGCGAGACTAGCCGGAACCAGGTCGTCGCGAGGTGCTTTGCTCGTGCCGTAGCGACTGTGCGGTGGAGACATGTCGGCATGTACAGAAGCGGTGAAGCTAGCGCAAGATCGCCTGAAGTCGTATGGAAGGAGTAGTCAAGGGAAAAAGTAAAATGTGGCCAAAAGTGGGCGCCAGAAAGAGTGAAGAAAAAGACACGCTTTTGCCAGATTCGGCTGAAGTGTTGAGGCAGTGAAGAGTCATTGGCAAAGCAGCCGGAATCGTGAATGGGAGGAGCATTTGCGGGGAATTAGGGAGAAGCGAGCTCTGATTATCGGTTGGAAGTAACAAGAGAGAGCAACAGAGACAGAGAATGAGCAGGAAGGTCAAGCGAGGAAGAGGAGCGAGCAGAACCAACCTGGAGTGTCTGGGTTGGGTTAGGCATCTCAATTATCTCAAGAGCCATGCATATACCTTTTGGTCTTTTGGTGCTATTTTTGGAACGAGGGTTTAAGGATCTTGCGAGGTCTGGCACAGGAGAAGCGTCAAAGTGGAAGCTGACTCGGTCAAGTAGAGAGACTGGCCGAGAGAGAGAGAAAGAGAGAGAGAGAGAGAGAGAGAGAG